TTTTTAAAATATGTACCTATACAAGATTTAGTGCATGATAGTTATGTTTTTAAAAGGTTGAAGACTTTAAATAGTTAAGCTCAGGTTTTGGATGGTTAAAAAATTAATATATAGTGTATTAACAAATTATTATGACAATGCCAATTTTTACAGTATTTTGTGTGTAGCAAAACACATGTAAAAAGTAAGTAATCTTGCTTATTATTTTTTACCTGTTCCTGCAATGTTTAAATTTTATTTAACTTAAGATTGAGAAAGAAAGTGCACCAAAAAAGGATTCTACAATCCATTCTCAGTCGATGTTTTGAGCACGAACACTGTAAAACTAATTTGGCAATCAAAGCTGTGGCATTTACTTCCTTCTCATTTTGCTTTAGATATCACGCATTTCTGGTTTAATGGAAATGACTCAGCAGAGTCATTTTTTTTGTCTGGCTGTTTTCCTCTGCAAACTACGAACTGTTGATTCGAATAAACTGACAAACATCTATAACTCACCACCAACAAATGGGAGTTTTGATTGTGTACTCAGATGAGAAAACATTCTTTAATGTCTTTACACAAGATAGCTTGTTAACAGCAGAAACTCTGAAATAAACAAATGAAACCCTAGATTGGAAAAAAAGTCTATGCTATTGTTTAACTACATGTATTTTTTTTCCTCTCTTGGATGGAGTTCCAGTAACACTAAATAACTTTAGACATGAACATGACACAAATGATGAACAGACGGACCATTAAACCACAAACCCAAATGACTCAAAAGCAAGAAAATACTGCCACAAGAAGTCAACTCAACTATACAAAATATCAAGCATAAAATGGAGCAGACCTTGTACATTAGGAAGTGCTTAAAAGAGAAAATGATGTAGATATTTAATCCACAGAAATGGAGGATAATTTCACAACATTTGGACATGCTTATTATAATTTCTTTATTAGAAAACACACAGATTGTATAATAGAAAAGAACAAGAGAAGGACATTCCGAATTTGACTGTTTGGTTGTTAGCTATTTGATTTAGCTACTGTAGTTGAGCTGAGGATTTTCTGAACGAAGCCAGAGCATTGGCTTTGACAACATATCTGGGAAGCTTGTTTCATGCTCCCACAACCCTTTGTGTGAAACCATGCCTCCTCTTTCCCATTTTAAATGGCCTTCTGCTTAATGTCAATTGGTGCCTGCTGGCTCACATTTTCCCATGGATTCTGAAGAAGTCCATTAGATTGACCTTATAAACTTCCTTCGAAGGTTTTTAGTACAAGGTCCCTCACATAATTCTCTTTCACCAATTTAAATAAAAAAACAGACATAAACCTCTCCTTAGTAGCAATATAAACACTAAAACCTTAACTTAAGAGAAATAAAAGAGCATATACAGGTACATACTTCAATAATGGCAGTAATTTACTAGCATTGTCTTGAGATAGAAACCACAGGTGTCTGCTCGGCATGGTGCTGTGTTCTACACTTGATGTGTCTGGCACAATACAAGAAGATTCTCCAGCACAAGGGCCCAGTCTGTATAACAAGACTGATAAACAGCTCATCTTTGTTTCCAGTGTAAGAGGCCATTCATCTATTACTACTATGGCTATTGACATCTCAGCTGGAGTAAACACCTTAACTTGTTCCTTCTCTGCTACATGTTGTTTAACGGTCTTAGTACTGTCAGAAAAAAAATCTGAAATTCAAAAAAACATACCCAAAAATAATGCATCATCACCTTAACCACGATATAGGTCTATAAGGACTATCTGAAACTTTTAAATTCCCTGAGCCAATTTTGTGTGAAACTAACAAATCATATCTTCATTACCATCTGAGACAAGAAATCTGTTTTTTTTTTATTGCTGCAAATATTACAACGGAAACAAAATAAAGTTTGTGGTAAGGGATCTATTAATGCATACCTCAGACATCCTCCATTAAAAACTGAATTCTCCTTGTTTTTTAAATTGTGTTGCTAAAGCCTTTCATGGCAGCTGAACTCTTTTAAAGGTCTATTACATCTTCACTATAAAAAAAGTTTCTGCAGTAAAACTTTTCTCATTAGTGGCTTGGGCAGCAGGTTCATATTGTGACAAGAAAAGGATGATTTGAATTACTTTTTGTTTATTTGTTTGGCAAGCCTTCCTCCTCTACCAAGTGCTGTTTCTTCAGTGAATCCATGAAATATTCATCAGCCCCTTGCTGGAACACTTGGGTGAAGACATGCTGAAGCCTTGGTTTGTCATTAACAGCCTTGGCTGCTGAGTCTGATCACCTGCACATGACAGGCAGCTAATTCAGAAGGGGGGATAATTGGAGCAAGAACACCAAAATGAAACATATCAGGCCCGTGAAAGACTGAAAGGAAGAAAACTTTTAGAGATGCCACTGGGAAGCCAGTGTAAGTGATTGGTTGTATATACGGGCATATAGTACTGGAATAAGTGGCACACTTTCCATCCAGAAAAAAAAATCTAACTTCATCTTCAGCAAGAAACTGCAGAGCAGGAGTAAATTAGTCATTTTAAAATATTTAAAAAAAAAATTAAAAACAGAACAACAACAGCAAGGAGTAGCTGTTTCACTGTTGTATTGTTTTCAATGTCATATAGCTGAAAGGCTGCTTACTTTCACATGGTAAGGATCTGACAATCTCTTCAACCCTTCAAGTGAGTGGTGCCACAGCAACCACAAACTTTGAACACTGAGTCTGCTTTCAAAATCAAAGCGGATCTAAGACACACAGGCCTCTTCCAGAGCTTGTTTCAGCAGTTCATGAGTTTAAACATTGTAAAATAACTTCAACTTTATGTCCTTCATCATAAAAAGTGGAAAAAAGACAACAATAAATGCAGAATTGTTGTTAATTTTGCTAACTTATCATCTCCTTTGTCA